TGACCCTACCTTATTTGTTATCATTGAACAACTTAGGACTTCCTTTGTGAATTAAATAAAATTGGTGATTAAAATCCTTCTTCTTCAATGAATAATCTGATAAACAGAAGTTTCCCTATTTTTTGAACTCCTGTCTCTATGATTCATCCTCATGCTTATAATCCCATACAGTCCAGTATCATTATCAGATTGTTCCTAAGTGAGTATATCTTATCTCTACAGAGATTGTATAGTCCATGGAGGCTAGATGCTATACCCAGTGGATTGTACAGTCCATGGAGGCTAGATGCTATCTCCCATAGGTTTTGCGCAGTTCGGAGCACTTGCAGTGTTTGTGACATTAAAATCTTTGACCCTGAATATAAGAAGCCAGCTATTTTATTCTAATTCTCAACCTTTGGTGGTGTTTTTAGCCAACTACTCATGCCTTACTGTATTTCAGAGTAACACCCCACAAATATAGCACCCTATACAAATATATTTTGCATATTATTTGCTCCTCTGGGAGATTTATTTTATACGCCTGCCTGCTTGATCACCCCTAACCACTCTGTCTGCCTGCCTGATTGCCCCTAAACTGCTTGTCTGCCTGTCTGATCACCCCTAACTGCTCACCTGCCTACCGCATTGCCCCTAACCAGTTCTGCCTTGGCCCCCTCCCCCCACCCCAGGGCTTTGTCCAGAAGGATGTCCGGAATGATGTCTGGAAGGTTGTTCAGCTGGCCTCACCGCCAGGGTTTTGTCTGGAAGGATGTCCTGGATGAAGTCTGGAAGGTTGTTTGGCTGCCTGATCTAATTGGCATATTATGCCTTTATTATTAGAGATGATTTGTTTGGTGTTTGCCTTTATGACAAGGATACTGAATGTGTGGGGATTGAGACTGTCCATCTTGCTCACTACTGTCTGGCTTGTGGTTGGCATTTGATAAGTGTCAGTTGAATGAAGTATAATAATCAAGACATTTTGGTTATTTCTCCTACTCTCCTCCCATATATATGTCCTTTGTGTTTCCCCAATATCTATGTCATTTTTAGAGGAATCAGTGGATAAACATAAACAATTCTGAAGGATGTGGCCTCAACAAGGATAATTGTGACATAGTTCAACTATTTGACTTCACCAGAACCCTTTAAACTAAGGAAGATATTAATTAAAAACATATCTCTGCTAAGATGACCTCTTATTTAGAAACAAAACATTTATGCTTCCCACCAGCATGCAGTGATTTTGGCTAGAATGTATGTGGTACTCAGAACGCTATCCACTTAGGTATTTATTTGAGCCATAAACACATTTTTAAAAACAGTGTGCAGTTGGTAAAAAGCAGAAAAAGTGGTATTTCAAAATGAAAACCGGTGCACAAGTAGTTGGCACATCTGGTAATCAGAAAAGTTGTATAGTTTGTTTTTAGCAAATTACAAGCCAAGGAACATTCAAACTTGGCCAGTTGAAACATTTTTTTGCTATTTGTGACACCTGGTTTTTAAAAAAAATTGGCTCCAGACTGAAAGCAGATAGAACATTGGCAATGGGTAGAGAAATAAATAGAATAATTTACTATCTTGTTTTATGCAAGGAATTAGAACTGTTTACTTCAAGAAAAAGAATGAAGCAAAAATGCCATGGCAGTCATGAATAATAATAATAATAACAACAACAACAATAGCATCTAATATCCATTGAGTACCTACTGTGTGCTAGACTATGTGCTGAGTCCTTTACATTTGTAATTAATACTAGATGTAAAACAACCTTATGAGGTGATATTATTTTTATTTCCATTTTGCATATGAGAGGACACAGACATGGAAATAAAGCATGTTTAAATAATGTGCCCAAGTCACATAACTAGCTGGGGTGGGGATGGGGTGGATGGATCCCAGGTAGGCTAGTTTTGCCCAATTCTGAGTAGTCTGGAGGCATTCATTTTGTCTAGAATTATGAAAAAAAATTATTGGATTGAACATAGTGACCCTAGGTCAAATTGTTTGCCTACACTTTTGAGACAAATACTATTAATATTTTTCAGAACATTCTCACAACTGTGCCACAAACATTACCTGTTCCTAAGACATTTACCATTTAGCCTGAGGCATCAGGGATGCCATATGTGACACTCAGAAACAGTCACTCCTCTGTGGTTAGATGAGGTTCAACTTGACCAGTGTATTTGGGAGTGGGAGGTAATACCGTAAAAATCACGGAGACGCTGCTGGAAGTTAGCAGTGCTGTGGAATCTGTCAAAGGATTGACTTAATTAGAGCTTGTTTTGAAAAATGGCACTGCCTTTTAAAAAAGAAAAACAGTAAAGTTTTTGTGAAAATAATTTGTTAGTATTTAATATTCACATGTATAACTATCCTTTATTTTCTCTTTTTTAAAATAAATCTTTATTGTTCAGATTATTACAAATGTGTTCCTCCCTCCCTCCCCCCCTCAATTGCTCCCCTCCACCAGGTTCCCACCCCCCCTCTGCCCTTTCCCCACCCCTCATTGTCCTCATCCATTCATTTCTTTTCAACTTCATTGATGGATGTTAGTGTTTGTGTTCTGTTTAGGTTCTGGGCTAGGTGCTGAGGAAGCAGGATTCCTTAAACAAGGGCTTCCCCTTGAAAGAGAATTAAAGTATAAATGAGGAGGGGGTGGCAGAAATGTAAATTAACCTCAGTAAAAAGGTATTAATATCTACCTCTGCACCAGTTCCTGAACTGTTGTAGAGGTAGATACAGTTCCCTGACGGTTTGGGGGTAGATTTTTGTAGGACTGTAGGAGAATGAAAAGAAGAATTGGTCATATCTTTCAAGCTGGCAGTTGGGGTGGGTAGTCGGAGAGATGTGACCTTTGAATTAAGACCATGAAGGTGCAGAGGTGCTCATTTAGGTAGACAAGTTAGGGTAAGGATGTGGCAGGGCAGAGAAGACCATGAACAAGACAAGGTTAGACATTTCTCAGCCATCATATTGCTATTTATCCATTCTAAGGAGCGCATATTTTCATACCAGCACATCTCTGAAATCTCAACACCATGCACTAGTTTAACTGACAGTTCAGGTTCTTACTGGTACATAAAATAGTGATAGGCCTTACAATATATGGTATCTTAGATTTGATGCAAGAATGTGTGAATATGCTTTGCCTCCAAGTAGTATTTCTTGGGTGAGCTGTTCTAGCTGCTAATGTGTCTTTGTTGTAGAGGTAGATATTAATACCTTTTTTACTGAGGTTAAAACAAGCATGAAATGAGTGAGTTACTTAGGTAAATATACGACATTAAATTTGACAAAATACCTGACATCTGGTTGTAGCTTTTAATAGCCATGACTGGTAGGGATGGGATCTGGGCTATGGACCATCGCGATTTTTTCTGAGGTTAAAAGAGATTTGAAAAGCAAATGGCATGTAGTTTTATAAAATTTATAAAGATACTAAGTTCATAGTTATTGCATAAAAGTATATCCATTTTTCTTGATAAGGAAATGAAATCCTGATGATGCAGTGTTATGTGAGTGATGGAGACAGATCATCCATAACTTACCTTTCAAGGCACTAGAAGATACATCAGATATAAGCTGCAGTGAAAGAGGTAGAGGGAAGGTTCTGGTTTGTGTATCTTAAAAAAAATTGAGAGAACCTTTCACTTAGAGCTAATGATCTTGTCATGTATCAAAAGAACAAATGAAGCATCCAACACCTAACCACCCAGGTACCATGAAAATATACCCTACTGGAATCTGTTTCTGTCTGTCAGAAAATCCCTGTGTGGCCTTGAACAAGGCAGCGACCACTTGGTTTTAGTTTTCAGAGGGCTAGCCTCCAGCAGGCTTCTTCTGGCTGAAGGTGCTGGGACTCTCCCAGAACTTTTAAGGTCTAGTTTCATTGATGAGACCATAGCCATTGTTGTAAGGTCTTATTTATCCAGTGTTCTGGGCTCTCTGAAGAGAATATTATAAAAGATGACTGTCCTCTTTGGGGCTATGTATTTAATTTTTGGGCAAACAAAATAGGAAATTGTATCCTCTAGGACTAAGGAAAGTTCCAGTGATCCTTTCCACCTACTTTGATCCCATGTATATCAATGAGAAACATGGGGAATTTGGTGAGAAATATTTAGGGCCTGATCTGTTAAAAACTGAGGTCATACTTATTTTTGTTCATTTGAAATGAGAACAGAGTGTACAGTCACTGAGACTTGACCAGGTAGTTTGCAAAAAAAAAAAAAAAGTTTGAAGAAGTACGTCCATGTAAAAAGAATGTCTAGAATGATTCAACCATTTTATTTTTTATTTTTTTGTAAGTGAGTCATGTCAGTGTTTGCCTTTCTCCTCTTTGCTTTTCCTTTCTCCCTAAGGACACAGATTTTTGTGGGTTTCTTTTTTCTTTCCCTTTTGGGTATGGACCAAATTTTTACTACATTCAAAGATTGTTACAATGAAAAGAAAAAGCTATGTCTAATTATAATGAGTGTTTTGTTTATGGCTCTCATCCTGATTTTTAAAAAATTGGCTATATGTCCAATGACAATCTATTGGATGAAGAGGAGAAATCAAGAATGGAGAGACAAGAGCCAGACTATCTCCTTTTAAAGAGGCATTTTGGAAGGTCAGAATTGGAAAGAAGTAAGCCAGTTAAAATATTAGCTATTCTAGAATAAACTTGTTTTGATATGAGTAAGCCCATCTACTTATCACTTTAACCCTTTAGGTAAGGAGATGATAAAATAATGTAAGTGGGCACTTGTATACAGAAGGAGCAAAATGTAAGCACATTTTGTGTAAGTGGTGATTCTAAATGAGTTGTAGCATTATGGTTTTTTTTTTTTTTTCATTACAATTGAAAGCTTTTTGGTAATACCAATAACTAAACAAACAAACAAACAAACAAAAAAACAGATCCAAGGACTGTTTCTAAAAGTGGGACCTGATATAAGTGTGCACCTGTGTATTTTTACTGATTTCTGATGTAAGAAACATGAAAGCTAATCTGATTCGTTTGTTTTTAGGGGCTCTTGGCTTTGGGCCTCAGTGCAAGTCCATTGGAAAAGGCAGCTGCAACAATCTAGTGGTCACCAGCAGCTCCATGATGGTTCAGCGACTGGGACCCATTTCACCTCCAGCAAGCCAGGTCTCTACAGCATGCAACCAGATCAGTCCTAGCTTTCAGAGGGCAATGAATGCAGCCAACCTGAATATACCTCCTTCAGATACCAGGTCTCAAGTTACTTTTATTTCCCCCTTCTTATACTGTAATCATACCCTGTGAGTGTTTTCCCTTCCCTTCTTGAACACACACACACACACACACACACACACACACACACACACACACGTGTGCGCATGCTCACTTGCTTAAGTTACCCTTTTAATTTGAGCTTTTTTAGGGAATGTGTATAAAAATTAAGAATGTGCCATATCATCTTAATTGGGAGGAATGGTTTAACACCTGCTGTCTTGTGGTGGTGTGAGTGAAAGGAATGCCCAGCTTAAGATATTGGGGCCTCATTGACTAAATTCCAGTGAATTAATTTGTCATTTCCTGGAGGGGCGAGTCATGTGACAAGGCCTAGAAAATTGAGATGTTCACGTGCATCTATCGTACCTGTTCATTTTCAGTGCATATGTTGCAGCGTCTCAAGGTTGCTTTATAACTGTTTTGTCTATAAATCTATCCCCCTATCCACCAAGTACCTTAAGTCTGCATAGTATAATAGTTAAAGTTTAGGAAGACAGTAGAAAAAAATGAAGATAGAAATTATGAATTTCAAGACTTTACGATGTGTCTGGGACAGCATATTTTCAAGTATAAATTACATAACATTCCAACACAATGTCCAATTAGGTGCTAGAATAAGTAGGTTTAATAAATGCTGTGTATCGCTCCAGAGGAGGAAATTAAATAGGAAAACGTAAAAGACCCCTTCAGACAAATATATCTCTTAAGGTTTGACATTAGAGGGGCATGAAGACAAAATGCTGTGCAATGTGTAAGGTCCGTTTCTATGTTTTATGAATTATTTTATCTTCTAGAAGTGCATTTTTGGAGAAATTCAATCCAAAGTTTTTGCCTCTTAGTCCTGGCTCTGTTGTAACTGGTTTTGCAAAGGGATTTGACTCCTGGTGTGCTTCCTCTTGGGGAGGAGGGACCTGGAAATCTACTCAAAAGTTTTGCAGTTCTGGGACCCTGTTCCTCCTACTTCCTCCTTTTCCTTCTGTTCCTCTTTCCCCTTCTTGTCAACTCTGCACTTTCTCCTAGCTGCTGTTTGAGACTCAGAAATCATAGCTTCTGGATAATTTTTTATGCCAATTTTTTTTTCATGATAGGGAAACTTGTTTTTCACCTGAGATTTTTTGTGAGGGGAAGCTGCTGCTATCTATTCCCAATTGATGATTAATGCCTTGAGGGCCTCCTCAGACTTGCTGAACATTGCATGTAAAATTAACTGTACTCGCGGGGTAGGTGTCATTGGGAAGCCTTCAGCTCCCTGTCCAGCCTGTGCCTAGAAGGCAGAGAGTCATATAATGAATGGAAAAACTGATAGGTAGGATTGGCATGAACTGCTGTCACCATCTATCTAATGCAGTCTCTTGATCAGGGAAGTGTTATTATGTTAGTGTTTTTTGGCATATTTGGTTCCTTAGCATAAATTTTATATCCTTAAAAGACAACATCTTAAAGATGCATGAACATATGTTTTTGACTATGTATTCTGTGAGTCCTCCTATTGAAAGAATTCTTTTTGCAGGACGGGCAACAAACAAAAGTTGGAAAGGGGCTTGGTGAAGTATGAAACTTACCTTTAGCAATTTGAAAAGGTCGCATTTGTGATGCTTGGTTTGTGTGTCCTATCAGAGGAGAGAGAGGACAGGAGGCAACAATCAACTTGAAGGCATTTGCTGCCTAGAAATAAGGATGGAGAAAGAAAGAGCTTTGTGTTTTATCCAAGAGGAGAGTGTTGTGGAGAGGGGGCATGAACTGTTTAGTCTGAATGATGACCACCCTATCAAAAGCTGTAAATTTTAATGTTTTTTTCCTGATTATCTGTGTAACTCATACTTCTTATAGAAAATATAGAAAAGCACAAGGCATTAAATTATAGTCATCCTGAATCTGACCATGCACAGGCAACCATGGATGGAATTTTGATATACAATCTTCTAGTTATATGCAAACACATAAGCACAGGTTTTCCTTTGTATCAGATTGATCTAATAATTTACATAGTTTAATAATTACTTTGTTTAGTTAATATAAATTCTTTCTTTTGTTATAAAAGTCTTCAGCATCTCATAATGGCTTCTTTCTACTTAATAATTCAATTTTATTTAAAAACTATATAAATACAACTATACTTTTTTTTTTTAAATCAGTCTTTTGTTACTGGGCATTTATTTTTTCCTTTATTTAAGTATTTTAAGACACCATACTGACTCAATCCTGTAAATATTTTGTTGCTTATTTCTGGTTATTAGAATAATTTCTTAGAAGTAAGATTTGCTGGAAATGTATAGTTTTGAGCCTTTTGGTATGTATTCTTCAACATACTGCAGAAAAGATTTACCCATTTATATATTTACCAATAGTATTGAGAGTTCCTTCTTCCCCATATCTTATCAAATATAGGAATTATTATTTTTATTACTTTGCCAATTTGATGTACAAAATGTTATTTTTTAAATTTGCATTTCTTAATTACTGATAACATTGAGTAGGTAGTAAAGATTTATTGACTGCATTTCTTCTTTTGACCCTCTTGAATATTTTTTTTTCTGGAGTGCCTCATTATGGGAAAAGCACTCTTCCTTAGCTTTGTTGGGTCCTGTATACTCCAATGAGAATCATGTCCTAATGCTGTATATTTGCCTTCATTAATTTCCCAACCATTTCTGACTAGCCCTACTTAATGAGAAATGCAAACTATACCTTACCCTCCTAAATATTCAGGAGCCATTCTTAATTTGGGTAGTGCAAAAACTGCAATACGGAGACCGTTGTATATATTTTCCCTAAAGTGATGAGGCTGAGGTGCTGATAGATAACCTCCTTACAGTCACTTCATATACAAATCTGGCAAAAGTTGGAAAGCAGAAGAGATTGCCTGGGTTTTGTATATGTTTAGTTTTGCTAGTGCTGTCACATCGATTGCAATTCTACATTTTGTGATTGAATATTTACAAACTTCCTGCAAGTATTACCCATTTTATAGATGATGGACCCAAGACACAGAAAGTCTAAAAACTTTGTCTTTTATCACTTAGTTTTTCAGTTATAAAAGTTGAACCACCAATTTAATAATGTCAATCCAGGTCCAAAAAGGCACCAATTTTTCTCTCTTAATCCAGAATTTATTGAGGTGATTTCTGGGGATGGAATTTCCTAGAGTTTCCTTTTGGGTTGGACTGTGTCCATAAAGCTCAGAGGAGGCCAAGGTGTTGAGAATGGAGTCTGGACTAAGTTCTAACATTTTATAAAGCCATTCTGTGTTTAGATGCAGCACTAATTCTTCTAGAGAATCTCTCTCTCTCTCTCTCTCTCTCTCTCTCTCTCTCTCTCTCAGTTTGATCTATTAGTATTTCTTTTGATATACTTGAACCAAGTCATTCACTTTGGCCATTACTCCTTTTATGGCCCTGTGAGAGTTACTGAATTCTTGCTTCACTAGTCACCCTAACCTGTTTCACTGATAGTTTCTGAGTTTTTCATATTGGTTTTATTTTGTTTGAGCCATATTGCTTTTCTTTCACATAAAGCTCCAAATTAACCAATCACCAGAAATAATATGGCAAGGATCAGATGACCATATGGAAATGGAGCTTGCTCTCAGTAAGGTGACAGAACCACAGCTCTTTGTCACTTTCTTCCCCATAGGCCTGGTGTGTGTAGCAGCAGGGGCTATAGGAGCCTTTCACAGTCATTCAGCATATCGTTGCAGAAAGAGAACGATGGGTTTCAATTATAGCTTTTGTGACTTTAAGCCTGTTATACCAGGCCCTTTAATCAAGTAAAGTATTATGAGCCATATGTGGGATATGTTATGGGGAAATCAATGGTGGATGTATGTGATCCAACTGGTAGGTGACTTGCCCATCAAATGCTGCTTCATTTTTACTTCTATAAGGAATTTTAAAAAAATCCTCATTAGAGGATATTTTTTTACATTGATTTTTAGAAAGAGTGGCAGGGAGGAAGGATGGAGGGAGAGAGAAAAAGAGAAAAGGGGGGAGGGAAGAGAGAGAGATGTGAGAAAGACTGATGGATTGATTGCCTCCCATTCAACCCAAATAGGGGCCTGGAATATAACCTGTAATCCTTTGGTGTGAGGGCCAATGCTCTAACCACTGAGTAACACACCAGCCAGGGCTTCTATAAGGAATTTGGTCCTTAAATAGAAGTTATTTTGTTTATTATTTTAAAATAAATATTTATTGATTTCAGAGAGGAAGGAAGAGGGAGAGGAAGAGGGAGAGGGAAAGGGAAGGAGAAGGAGAGGGAGAAAGAGAGAGGGAGAGAGAGAGAGAAACATTAATGATGAGAGAGAATCATTAATTGGTCGCCTACTGCATGCCCCTCACTGGGGATCCAGCCTGCAACCTGGGCATGTGTCCTGACTGGGAATCAAACCATGACCTCCTGGTTCATAGGTCGATACTCAATCTCTAAGCCATGCTGGTGTTACACCCAGACTTCGTGATCCCCAAGGACCACCAGGGAGCCGAGTCAAATGCAACAAACAAAAGAGCATTATCCATGCTAGCATGGGCTCTGTCCCACTCACGCCGGCAGCAGGGCGGAAGAGAGAGCAAATTTCGCCCAGTCTAGGGATTTTACTCCAGTCGTTGGTGATGTCACTGCCTTGGCTAACCCTGATTGGTTGGGTGAGGGCTAGGGTTCAATTACAGAATGGAGGATAACTCCGCCCTGCCCTCTCACTGGCTGGGCTAAGTAGAAGTTATTTTACTTAGTTATTGATTATTTATTTTCTTAATCAACACTTTTTTGGAAACGCACTATGTTTCTAACACCCTAGTGGGTGCTGGGGGAGATGAAAATGATCTTTTTGTGGAACGACTTTGAATTTTATTGAGGAAGTTAGCTATGTTTAAGGCATAGTACAGACAGCCAGCATTTAACATCTTTGGAAAGTGGACTCTGACTGAGAGCTAGTGTATTTGAGGGAGATTATGGATTAGAATGCTGAAAGAGAATTGTACAGGAGGTATGAGGGACAATAAGTAAATGCCATTTGTTGGAAATTTTATTCTTACTACACGTTGAGATAGAAAAGAGAATTCTTTATGTATATTATTTCCTTAGTGAGTAGAATATAGACTTTGCTTTCTGGAAAAAAAAAGTATATAATAACTGTCTTAGAAATTGATGTTTGAGGAGTTAAGGAACATGCCTTCATGGGGTTTATGCTCAGATTTAAATTGAATTGTAGTTAAGTCTCATTTGAGAAAAGTATGAAATGTCTCTGGACAAAGGAACAAATAAACATGTCTCAGTATAGGCAAATAATCTAATTGCATATACAGAGTAACATACAAGTGGATAAAATACTTTCTGCCTGCTACTTGCTGCTTAAAATTCCGAAATGCTTTAGTGTGACAGTGACCAAGCAAACGCAGCATTTGAGAATGTTCTGTAAACTCTCTCAACCTTGGGGCATAAAGCAAAGTCAGTTGTCTTTGCCTCATATATGACACCACCACTGATTTTTCTGGATCTCCCTGGGAAGGGACCAAAAGGTCCTTGACATTCAATCATCAGGAACCCTCACCTGAGCTCCTCAGGGAGAGCTGCACGCTGCAGGTGTGCTGGGAAAATAATTGAAAGTGTCCATGGGGAATTTAGAAACAGATGGTTTAGAATCAACTTTGGGGCTTGCAAAAGGACTTCAGCCCGAATATAAGGATGTAGACCAAGAAAAAAAAATATGTGTCAAGGGCAACTGGACGTACTTTCCTGCTGTGTTTGTCATTGGTAAACATTACTTCACCTGATGGAAACATCACATCCATAATAGTGTTATCTATCACCTTATGCTGTGCATTTCAGAGCTGAGATATTTTCTGGCTAATATCTCATGCTTGTAGGAAACAGTGTTCCTGGTTTTCATGTTGTAAAAAGGAGCAAGAAGAGCAAATGGGGTGAGAATGCTTCTCTTTTCCTTCATTCCTTTGGCAGTAGTATATGGGAAAAATATATATACACTGAGTGGTCAGATTATTATGATCTCTGAATGCATAATAATCTGACCACTCAGTGTATGTCCTATATAATAAAAGGCTAATATGCAAATTGTCCTTTCAACCAGAAGTTTGACCAGCAGGCAGTTCGGCCAACTATCCATGTCCCCTCCCCTTGGCCAGGCTGGCCGGACCCCACCCATGTATGAATTCATGCACCGGGCCTCTAATACACACACACACACACACACACACACACACACACACACTGAGTGACCAGATTATTATGAGTTTAGAGATCATAATAATCTGAAAACTCAGTGTATATATAATTTTGTTTTTGATTAATTTTTTTTTGTCAGAAAAAAGATCTCTAAAATTCAATGTAGGTACATGTAAGTAATCCAGGTTTTTATGATACACTTCATGTCTGATTGAGAAATACAGTTATTTCCAGCTTGTGTAACAAATTTTCCATCCAAGGGACAAAGGTTGTGTTTTTTTTCTTCAGTGATTTTTAAGGTAATGATGCCATAGTAAAGCAAAATGAATTTTAAGGTGGTTAGGCTATATTAGAAACTATTTTGATCTGCAGGTAAATACTGCTACATGAGGCATGCTTTAAAAAAGGGTAAGAGAACAGAAGAGGGATTGTTGCCAAGTGAGGAAAGCATTATTATATATCCGGGATGACATTTTGACTTTCAGAATTTACTTTTTTTCAAGGCAAGCATAGGTTTATGTTTTACCTCACCAAATTGATCTTCCTCAAAGACTGGGACTCTGCGTAGACTTGTATTCCTTTCAGTGCCTATTTGTAGTGTTTTGCATTCATTAGGAACATAATAAATACTTATTTGGTTTGCCTTGACACGGGTATCAATAATCATTCACAGGTCTCAAATTTTCCCCATATATAAAAAAATGTTTAAAAAATAAAGCAAGGACTATTTATTATCATTAAAGTATTAAGATTATGTATAACAATAGATCTTTTGTTTTATTAGTCCAGTGAGCATTAGCCTTTATTGTTCTTGGTAAAATGCTATTTACCTGGAACTAAAAGCCTCGGTGTTATCTTAGCCAAAGAATGTGTGTTTAGCCGAGAATGTAATTAGGGGAACTACTTAAGGGATTGTCAATGAAATGTTCTTTTAGCTCTTAAGCAATCTATATCCTGCTAAAATGTTTGTCTTTTTCTACCCCTTCTGGCTGCTGTTCTAGGTCCCTTATTTCACGTGAGTCTTTGGCGTCCACGACTTTGAGTCTGACGGAGAGTCAGTCGGCGTTGAGTGTGAAACAAGAGTGGACTCAAGGCTACAGGGCTCTCCCTTCACTCTCCGCCAACCACAGCTCTCAGAATGGCCCCGACCTAGGGGACCTCTTTAGCCTTCCTCCGGGGACAGCCATGTCCAGCAACAGTGTCTCTAACTCTCTGCCGTCCTATCTTTTTGGCATGGAAAATAGCCACTCTCCTTACTCCAGTCCCCGCCACTCCTCAGCCAGGTCCCATTCGGCCCGCTCCAAGAAGAGAGCCCTGTCCCTGTCCCCGCTGTCCGACGGCATCGGCATTGACTTCAACACCATCATCCGCACCTCTCCCACGTCCCTGGTCGCCTACATCAACGGGTCCAGGGCTTCCCCGGCCAACATGTCCCCGCAGCCTGAGGTCTACGGACATTTCCTGGGGGTGCGCGGGAGCTGCATCCCCCAGCCCTGCGCAGTGCCCAGCAGCCAGAAGGGCGTGCGGGTGGCCGGCGGCGGCCTGGTGCTCCCGGCTTACGGGGAGGACTGCGCTCTGGAATACGAGCGCATGCAGCAGCTGGAGCACGGAGGCCTCCAGCCCCTGGTCAACAACATGGTGGTGCAGCACGGCCTGCCTGGGCCCGAGGGCCAGCCGGCCGGCCTGCTGAAGACGGAGCGCCTGGACGACTTCCCGGGAGGGGCTCTCGACCTGCCCTCCGCGTCTCCTCTGCCTCCTCTGCCACTCCAGCCCCAAGGCCCTCCTCCCCCTTACCATGCCCACCCGCACCTGCACCACCAGGAGCTGGTGTCCCACGCCCCGGCACTGGCCCTGGAGGAGGACGGGGACATGGACGACGTGGGGGGCAAGCACTGCTGTCGCTGGATCGACTGCAGCGCTTTGTACGACCAGCAGGAGGAGCTGGTGCGGCACATCGAGAAGGTGCACATAGACCAGCGCAAAGGGGAAGACTTCACCTGCTTCTGGGCAGGGTGTCCTCGGAGGTACAAGCCGTTCAACGCCCGCTACAAACTGCTGATCCACATGAGAGTCCACTCCGGAGAGAAGCCCAACAAGTGCACGGTGAGTCTTCCAAGGCCCTCGGGCGCCCCGGGAAAGTGCATGTGTTTTTCCAAAGTTGGCCCACAAGACGGGGGGCATTTTCTCCTTTTATGGGATTTGGATGGTGCGTGGAGGTCTAGGTATCCATGAGATTTGACTTCTCTTCAATGTGAGGACGGGGAACATTTCTTTAATTATTAGCTGCTGAGTGTCCCTTCACTTCTTGATTCTGTCCTGCAAATGTAAATGACCCACCATGTCAGGGGACATTGATCTGCCACAATGTCCAAAGTCTTGGAAAATATATGCCAGGAACCTTCGTAAAGTTGCCGAAATGTGCAGGGCAGAGGAACACACACTGCGCTCCCAGTAAGCTTTATGTCTTTTTCAAAGCCAATATTCTGTGATTTTTCTTTCTCTCTACTGACCCGGCTAGTAATGGGGTTGGGACAGGCTGGCTCTGATATTTGAAAGGAACTCCCATTTAGCCATTGGCTAGTAAATACCTCTCACCTGTGTGGACCCTCTCATCTGCCTGCACACTGCACATTCTGGGATTGTGAAGCTATTGAGTGATTTATAGCTGGCATAAAACACCCAGGGGGCGCCACAGGGACAGACTCTCATAGGATCTCACTGAATTTTGAGGAGAGAGATTTTTGTAAGAAGTTTAGGGGAAAGAACCAAGAGGGAAATGTCCCATTGGTGTTGAAGGAATTGAGCATGGTGTCTTTTTCCTCTGCCTCCCCTTTCACAACATCAACCCTGGAACTATCTGTGTTTCTTGGCAAAACTGGCTTTAATAATATGGCTCTGAAATGATTTCACAATCATCTCACACCTCACAGAAACCCTCCGTATTTATAAGCAGGACATCACCCTGGGGATCACAGATAGCTTTGCTCAATCTCAGACAGCTCACTTAACTTGGAAAAAAAGAGCATGAGTTTTATATTAGTTTAATGGGCAGGATTATTTATTTTAGAGTTAAATCTGAGAATCATAGGCACTCCCTGGATATTGAATATGCTACAGGTCACTAAATGTGTGAAATATATAAATCATTTTTGAAAAGGTACTTATTTAGACCAGGATCTCCTAGGCAGAATTCCTTCTTTCTGTAGTATATCTTGACGATAAAGCATCTGGACCAAGTGTATGTTTGATTATAGATTGGTCAAGTTGTCCCATTCATGTAAAAGCAAACCAAACAGATGATAGCTATGATGCAAGTATTAGGCGCAGTTTTTCACCATTCAGTATTTTTGAGTTTTAAGAATTTCTGGCAGAATGAAATTGCATTTCTTATTGTTACATTATACCCCATGTTGTGATTTTTCTTAGGGAAAACCTGAAGCTGATACATTGTGAGACTGCCAGGTTATATGAGTGAAAAGAATAATTACATTCCAGGCAACAAAATGTTACTCTGTCAGTAGGGTTCTGCATTAAAAATGCCAGAAAGAGAAAGCAATTGAAGGCTATTCCATTTACTCTGCTTGGAACACACAGGCCTATTGCAGGCAGGAAAGACATTTAGTCTCTGAATGAAAACAGTCCAACCTTTTAGTTATGACTAATCCTGGCTGAAAATAGTGTGCTGGATTTGGTTCTACTGAAAACAACAACAACAACAACAAAACACCCAAAATATAAAAAGGCTTAAATTAGCCAAAAAATATTTTTTGCATTGCAAAATTAATTTTTGTGCACTAGGATTCCCCATTTTCCCATGTTCTTAACTTTGCAAAGGCATATAATAAGTTGACTTTTGCTAAAGTGCATGATGCCTATTAAAAATAGAAATACTTAAGTGGAAGAATATGAGGTGGATGTTTGCATGCCTCTTCAAAGCTTTCCATTGCATTGTCTGGGATAGGCATGGGAAGTGATTTCCCTCTCCCCTAAACTGCCCACTTCCCACTTCTAAATGGAATCTTTGCAAAATTCAGATTGTGATATGTATTCCATGTCAAATTTAGAACCACAAAGCATTTACTTGCACGTGTTATAGTGCACATGTATTTATACAAAACAGGATTTCTTAGAAGCTAACACTGCAGTTCTAGTCTTGGGACTATGTATTTTTAGCAGGAAGACATCCATTTTCATATAACACATACATATCATGAACATTATGTCTTCTGAAAACTGTTATGTTGCTACATGTCATTTGCCTGACTTGTAAGGCCTAAGCTACTGGCAACAAATAATTTTCTGTGAAAAGTTAGCAGTCTTCTCAAGTTGTTGTCTATGGATAGAAGACATTGTGCTTAATGTGAATGCACATCTGAAAAAGATGCATTTGTCTGCCTTTGGTAAAACCAGTGGTTACACTCTTAGAATTCAGACACAAAGAACTGTTAAAACCAAAATGTTTCATCTCCTACTGCTTTGAAACCTGATGGTAGTTGATTCAAAGCTCAAGATCCTTGCCAAGGAAAATGACCACATTCCCCTTTTGGAGACATGCAGTGACCTTTGGGTTTTTGTGGCTATGTCACATGCTGCAAAAGATAGGAGCACTTTAAATTGGTTCACGTACATTTAACTGTGATTAATTTTCTGTGGACCATAGTTAAAGTTAGTCATCATTTTCACTCACTTAGCTTACTGACCTTAGAAAGATGTAGTGACCCAATTGTGTTGGTGTCCATGGCTAAAAGCAGCACAGTGAGTATCTGGAGTCATGGTAGAAGAGAGTGTAGTGTGTGAAAGGGCTACTCAATGGCAGCCTCCTTACAGTCAGAGGCTGCCACTGGTGTCCTTCTTTGATGCCAAATTCCATGTCATACATAGGAGTCCCATTCTCAGAATCCCTGATTGTAACTCCTTAGCCTTACCCAGAACTCTGAGATTCCGACCACTTAAGGTTCTAGGTGGCAGAACTGGGGCAGGATCATATTATTTGGTTAACTTATTGGAAGAAGAAATTCTTTTCTCCTTCCCATCCAAGCAATGCCCCCTTCTGTATATCTCATCCTATTGCTTCTATGGAAAGTCAAACCAGGTGCTATCTTTCCAGGCCTGGCCCGGATTACAGAGATACACCCAGCCAATGGCCAAGGCCTTGAGAAGTAAAGGCCTTGTTAGGCAGACAGGCAGAACTCAGTTAAATCAGAAAGTGGCATATGGAAATATTATCTTAAAAATGAGTCCATTAATTGCTGTTTACTAATTCAAGTAATTCCTAGGTGCAAAATCATTCTATTTAAACCTTCCTGAATTTAGACAAACCCCAACGCTGATGAATCTTGGAATTAAGAGAACTTTTCAGCATTTCTGGGTATGATTGTGCTAAATTTTGTTTGGTTTTTCTGAGATGATAAGGTTTCAAATTCCCAAGTTAGAACAAGTTTCGGAATCTGAATTTCTTTTCATATTCCTAAAAGTGTAACACAGAACTATAGATGTACACTAACCATCTCTAACAGTATCCATAGTAATGGTTCCAACAGAGTGTATGCTGAGCAAAGTAGGTCTTTTTGCTATTAAGTTGAAGAGTGTGCATTGGCTGGGTAGCATTCCCAGGAAGGTGTGTCTTGAATGAGCTGAAGCTTGCTCAGCCGGCCAGTATGCCTCATGAGAAAGCCTATCTGATGGGAGCAGAGTAAGTAGAGGGACAGAATCCTATTGCCAGGATTAGGAACACTGATGGCTTCCTTCATGCACAATAGAAAGCAGTTGTGCTGGGAGGTTAGGGAGTGTTAATAAGGGAATTAAGGGGAATGTGGGTCACCACTTAAATTTTGCTTGTTTTTCCTGGATGAATTTTATCCAATAGCAAAAAGAAATTTTGCAAAACTTTTACCCACCCACAGATTTTCACGAAAATGTCACTGACCAAAGACAGCTTTGAATTTTGTATGAATTGACTCATTTCTCCACAGGCATTTTGCCTGGCAAAATCCAGAGTATTTGCTTTGGCTTGAATACTGGACAAGTTTGCTTTTTAAGTAACATTGGATTATGAGTACAAGAAAATAAATACAGAGCTAGGCCATGTCCCCATTCCTCTTTAATGGCCTGATTTATGGGTTCATAGGCCAGCATTAGCCATGAAAGACATTTCTTGAGGAAAAGTAAATTCAGTATAAACCATGAAAGTTTTTTTCTACATCCTTTATTTTGTTATTTTGATAAGACTTGGTGTTGATGTAGTGACCATGATAATACAACCAGAAGAGAACTTAGGAAAATGCCATCTAAGCATAATCATTAATTACCATTCTGCAAACTTCATTTTGGTGCAATTAATAAGTTCTTATATTGTCAAGTATTGATGAAAGAACAGAGAATGGGGATGCTTTTATATTTCTGGCAAGAGTAAATTGGTGTAACTACTTTGGAAAAAAATTGAAAATATCTAGGAAAGAAGATGAGGTTATCCAACAAAACCATGTCTAAGTTTCTTCTCTACCTATTGAAACTCTTACATATGGTGGCAGGGAGACACACAAACAGGTATGTATATCGCCTCTGCTTTTAAAATGGTAAATTAACTAAGTATCCATGGATAAGGTAAATCAATATATGGTTTATTCATAATAAAATAGTATAAGGGAGTTTAAAATTAATGAACTAAATCTCTATATAGATTGAATAGAGAGATGCTACTATGGATATATCTCAAAACACCATGTGGAATGAAAACTTAATATGCCAAAAGATATACACAGTGTAATACAATTTATATACCTTTAAACAAACACTAAACAGTATTATATAGTCATTGTAGGTACATAATCACTTGTGTACATTAAATTGTTGTGGTCGGGATAAACAGTAACAAAAGGATAATGGATACTTCCAAAGAGGAAAGAAATAGGATATGGGAATTTTGTTTTATCTATTTTTCCCCCCAAAAAGTGAAAGAATTGAAACAAATACATCAAAATATTAATTTCTTTTTAACTTGGTGGTGGTAACATAGGTATCACAAGTATCTTAAAATAGTTTATATGCTTTGCTGCCTGTATTGAAATATTTCATAACTATAAGTATACATTTTTATTTAAAAA